TGTGTGTGTGTGTGTGTGTGTGTGTGTGTGTGTGTGTGTGTTTGTGCGTGTATGTTTTAACCAAGCCGTGTTACTGGAATGGTGTCACTCTGCTTACACAAAGCTCTTGAGTAGCCTACTGTGTACTACTGTATTCAATGTGTTCTGTGTGTAGAGATCGGACAAACAATGAAGCAAGCACCATTTTATTGTATCAGTTGGTTGAGGCAGTTTTAAACTGGAATCTGATTTATTTTTTCCTCCAGCGCAGCAATGAATCGTGAAGAATACTTAATGGAAACTCGCTTTAGTTTTTCATTACTTGAAGATAGGCTCACTGTTAAGAGGCTAGAGGACATCAACTTGCAGAATTTTTGTATTCTGTTGTGGATGAAAAGCAAATGATGTAGTTTAATCAGGAATGGTTCACCATAAACGGTACACAATTCAACTAAAAAGTCATCGGCAAATTTGCTCAATATAGAAAAACCGAAGGACACAAATCATGTGCTTGCAGAAAAAATATATAGGGGAGTCCATTTTCCTGGTTTCGAACGTGTTTTATCACTTACAGGATTACATGGTCGCTATTAAGCACAATCCCGAAAAATACTGAGCTGAAAAAATCGAGGGTAAAAGATTTGGATCCGTATTCAGTCTTTTTAAAAGACAGGGAAAGTTTTCTCTATAACCAAACAAATGCACACACCAATGAAACCAAACTTCTCCTATAGGTAGGGCAATTTTCACTTTTGGTATAGGTGGTATAGGTAAAGATTTCCGGAAACTCCCGAAATCTGGGTTAGCCCGCTTGTCCTTAAAAGCTACCATATTACTTTTGAATCCATTTAAATTTTCACATTTTCTTTTTATATTTGTGGGCCTCACTGTCTCTTCGGTCATCGTGTATCCTTTATAATCTGAGCGATCTCAATGTTTGGTCACGGCTATCCCCCGCTCTCTTTATACTTGGTGCTCATTGCGGATGGGATCGGGTCGACGGGTCTGATCGGGTCGATTTCTCGACTCATCGCCAGAAAACAAGCGCGTTTGTTTTTGAGGCGACGAGTCGGGCCCGATCGGCTTGTTCCACGATAGCCGCTTTGTGTCCTATTTCTGGCTTGCAAACCGTCCTGACCCGACCCGATCCCCCAATGGGCACACCATATTACAACTGAACCCAGCAAACGCCACTGAAGAACAATCTGGCCGGCCCCGACTCCCAACTCAATCACGTGAATACTCTCGGCCGTGTGCTCTGGGTATTAATTAACTACATGTAGTAGTGCCCGGCGCGCCAGATCAGCTGGCTCATGGCATGGCTCGGTTGTTTACAATCGTCAGAAAAGTCTGCCAAACCCTAATCTATCCTTGTTATCAGTAATCAACCTGTATGCTCATTGCTTTGATTATTCATTTCTACTCATTTTAGAGTTTATGTAAACAGGTTAAATATAAGCTGGGGTAGGAAAGTATGTGATGCTGAAAACTTGGATAATACAATTGAAGAGCACAGCGGGGGAAAGGCAGAGACACAAATTGGGAATTTGATGAAGGTATACATTTTAAGAGCCTGCATACTCAAAACTTTATTTCGGTTCAGCTGTTGCTTATTGTTTGCCTTGCCATTTAACTTACAGTAGCAATACATCACCTGTCAAACAGAAATGAAGTTAAGGGTCGACAAGCTTTTAACATTGATACCCTCACAATTTCCAGTTTGTGAGTACGCCCCCTTTCCCTCGTGTGCTCTTCAATCGTTTGCGTACAAAGGAGGAATAGCCTTCTGTATACAAAGAGTTAAGAGTCTAATCGCATTAACTTTTCATGTTAACCGTCTGTCTTCCCAGATGTTGCTCGTTCGTTGGGAAGCACGGGAGTGGAGCCCAGGTGATTTCTTTGGGCAAAGGCTGCTACTATTTCGGCACCGTCGTGCACGAGCTGGGTCACGTGGTCGGCTTCTGGCATGAGCACAACAGGCCGGACAGGGATAAATACGTACAGATAATACGGAAGAACATTATGCCAGGTGGGTGCATGGCCTCTGTGCCCCCCCCTCTCTCTCTCTCTCTCTCTTTCTTTCTTTCTATGTTTATTTTATCTCTCTGTCTCTCTCTGCCTCTGTCTCTGTCTGTCTCTCTCTGCCTCTCTCTCTTTGCCTCTCTCTGTCTCACTCTCTCTCTCTATCTTTCTTTCTTTGCTTATTTTCTCTCTTTCTCTGTCTCTGTCTCTGTCTCTTTCTCTGTCTCTGTCTGTCTGTCTGTCTGTCTGTCTGTCTGTCTGTCTG